AACTTTATTCTGGTAATTTTGTGCTGGAGTGAATCTAATTTAATCGTTTCCCTGATACAAAATCACATTTGTTGCATTCTATTATAAGCTGAAATGCTTTGTTTCATCACCTTTTTCTGTATATCTTGGGAAAACTTGTGTGTTTGTTCCCAGTAGTTTTCTGCTCTGTAGTTTTATGTGCAAGATGTGGAAAAGCACCCAGAAGATGCTCTAGAACGTGAATGTCAGCTCCAGTCCCAGTTCCCGTTAGGAAATAAGTCATCTGGCATCACCAGGATGCGTTTTACAAATCAGTTATTTAATCATCTTATGCTAATGTGCATTTTTGCCACTCATATTTTTCACTTTTTGCACAAAATATTTGAATTTAGTCTGTTGCATCTGTTGTTCATCTCCTGTTAGGTCTCTTAGGAAGTGCATTTGAAGCATAATGAAAATTATGCACAGACAGGTTCAGTTTTTGTCCGTGAGCTGGAAGCACGTCTCTGAGCAGTTGTTTTGAGAGCTGATCTGTGTAACGTAACACTGTTGATGAAGATTTACTGAACTCTGGAACTGTTTCGAGTATCTTTAGCTGTTAAATACACAGAACCATTGACTGATGATTGATTATTGGTTTTCTGGACAGCTGCTCTTGTGCAGGAGGGCAGCGCATTACATTTGTGAGCCTGGAGCACAGAAGCAGTGTTGAGTCGCTGGGGGATATTTGTAGCAATAGCCAACAATACATTGTATGGGTCACAATTATACATTTCTCTTTTATGCCAAAAATCATTAGGATATTAAGTAAAGATCATGTTCCATGAAGATATTTTGTAAATGTTCTACCGTAAATATATTAAAACTTAATTTTTGATTAGTAATATGCATTGCTAAGAACTTAATTTGGACAACTTTAAAGATGATTTTCTCAATATTTAGATTTTTTTGCACCCTCAGATTCCAGATTTTCAAATAGTTGTATCTCAGCCAAATATTGTCCTATCCTAACAAACCATACATCAATGGAAAGCTTATTTATTCAGTGAATTTTGAAAAATTGACCCTTATGACTGGTTTTGTGCTCCAGGGTCACATGCGTGTGTGTGTGTGTGTGTCGTAGAGCTGCACGGTAAATAAAACCCATAATTTACACAAGCAAATGTTTGAATTAAGTAGTTTTCAAATGTGCATTTAAACTAGAAAATCCTCATGCATGACTGCATGAGCAGCACTGTAAACCATACCTCCACTCCATGCTGTTGCATTAAATTCAAGTGTGGTGGATTTGGCTGTACGGTGCAGCCCTGGTCTGTGTTCCGTGTCTGATGTTTGAGTGTGTTTGTATGTATGTGTGTCTTTAATGTTCAGGTTTGTGTTTATTGTCAGCACTTTTCTCCTTGCAACCGAGTTTGTGTGGAGCTCCAGTGATGGATCTGCATGTTTGTATGTGTGTGGACTGCCAGAATGAGTGTTTGTGAGTGTTTTCACACAGCTCTCTGTGTGTGTGTGTTCTCGTCCCGCACGCAGGGGTAACAGGGAAAGCTCCAGCCGGGCATCTAGCAGTCGCCAGAGCAGCACCGACAGCGACATGAAGAGCCTGGAGCCGCGTCCGTGGAGCAGCACAGACTCGGACAGCTCCAACCGTACGCTCAGACCTCCGGTCACCAAAGCCAGCAGCTTCAGCGGCATCTCCATCCTCACGCGCGGAGACAGTCTGGGCAGCGCCAGGGGCTCCCGCACAGGTAACACACACACCCTTGCTGACTGTGCTTGAGAAAACTGTCTTCTGTCAGCACAATGTAGCAGCAGTCTATCATATCAAGCCGTGATCTTTTTATTTTATTTCTTCCAGCTATGTTTCTTCCCAAAAAACTTTTTTATTTTAATTTATTTCATTTAATTTCACTTCCCAAAACAGGAATAAAATGGGGAAAAAATGTGTATTGATTTATTTACCAGGTATATTTCTCCCAAGTAAAAATAATATAAATATATATTTTGTTCATTTATTTATTTGTTTGGTTGGATGGCTGGTTGTTGTTGTTTTTTTCTTATGCAAAATGCATTGAGCTATTTATTTTTGAAGGGAAATGAATAACAGGGATGGAATTTTAAATGACATTTTAGAATATATTTTTATTTTTAAGGGATATTTTAAGGATATTTTAGGGAGCCCTTTTACATTACTACAAGGTTACAATTAACAACAGACCCCAAACTTAAATTCATTTACTATTTATTTTTAAATATAATAATCAACACTTAACTTTAAAAAAAAAACTGTATTCAAAACATGTCAACAACAATCAACGCTGTATTTGTTTGGTAAACATGCGCACTAAACTGAAAGACCCGTACCGAAAATGTTCAATACGAATACATGTACCGTTACACCCCTATCTGTCGTATCATAAACATTAAAGGTGGGGTAAGCGATTTCTGGTAACCAATGTTGACATTTGAAATCAGCAAAACAAACACGCCCCTACACCAAAAGGGTCTCGCCCCTATTTTGATAGCTCCGCCCCACACATACATACGCAACCCAGGCAACGATCTCTGTGTCTCTCTCTCTCTCTCTCTCAGGTCTTCCCACAGTCACTCCGGACGTTTGTACGCCCTCTCAGCCGCCCCAGCAGAGCCGCGGGCTCCTGCCATGTCCCCTGAACTGCCCCTCCGGAGCCCCTCAGACCCCGAGCCAGCCGGGCCCCCCGCCGCTGCTGCCGACCCCGACACACACACACGCACACACACAGCACATCATCAGCGCACACAATCACATGCTGCCTCAGGTGAGCCACTGTCCGCCTCATACACACATTATACTCATCCTCAGCTACAGCAGAATAACGTCTGAATGTTATTCATTACAAAATATCACAGCAAGTGCCATTTATCGAAAAATAACCTGCACAAATACAAGTTATAATCAAAACATTTGACACGAAGTTTGTACGGTTTGACATAATAAAAGATCTAGATTTAATGTTGAAAATCAAGACAGGAGGTATTTTGTTCCAATTTTTTTTCCTTCATGAGTCAAAGTCAAAACAAGCACAAAAGCCCAAACACAATGGGCCTCATTTACGAAATGAACGTACGACAGAAAATTGAGCGTACGGTCGTTTTAACGCAAAATTTGGAATTGATCAATATGGACGTGAGCGGTGGCTACGATCAAATCTCAGGTCTGGTCTCAGCTCGTGTACGCAAGTTTTTGAGTTACCTGTAGATTGACAGCATTTTGTTCATTTTTATATTCCTGACCGTCAAACGAAGCTCATTAGTCGATCGTTAATCAGTAAGATTAGAATGTCTTTTTTTGTTGTTGTTTTGTACAGGGCTTTAGCTTTATATGCGCGAATAGCAGCATAAACAAGACCGTGAGGATTCAATCGTCGCATCATGCACCTGCAGCGCTTCTGTGAAAGGAGAAAAACAGAAATTAAGTTTATAAAAGGGATAAAATCAATAGGATCACACAAAATATATAATAGGCTATAATATAATTAAAAGATTAACAAAAGGGGGG